ACGTGGATATGGGGGTTGAGGACCTTACCTTCACGATGGCAGCCTCACCTGAACCCTCTCTCCACCTAAAGAGGGCACCCCCGAGGAATGTGCTCCTCAGCTGGTCTTCACTGCTGGACATGGGCCATCCTTGGATTAGGAGGGAAGCAAGCCAGAGTAGCAGAAGAACTTCCAGGGAGTAATGACTGTTGGTAAACATGCCTTCCCTCAAAGCCCAAGGCTACCAGGGATCCTTGAATTATTTCATCCAATTCAACCTCAGTTTCATCATCTGTAAAATGGGAGTGGAATGGAATGATGATGCCACCTAGTTCATTCCTTCACCCAACAATCTTTATTGAGACCTACTATGTGCCTGGCACTCTTCTAGGAGCTGGGGAGACATAAGTTAAGAAAAAAAAATGAAGTTCCTGCTCTCATGAAGCTTACATTTTCTTGGGGAAAGAAATAGAAACAAATACCCTGTATATTAGATCAGGGATCCCCAGCCCTGGAGGCCACAGAACAGTATAGGTTCATGGTCTGTTAGGAACCCGGCTGGATAGCAGGCGGTGAGTGGCAGACCAGTGAGAGAAGATTTATCTATATTTATAGCCCCCATCACCCACCGCTTAAGCTCTGCCTACTGTCAGATCAGCTGCGACAAAATAAATGTAATACACTTGGATCATCCAGAAACCATCCACCCGCCCCTACCCCATGGAAAAATTATCTTCCACAAAACTGGTCCCTGGTGCCTAAAAGGCTGAGGACCACTGTATTAGATGGTAGGATGAGGACAGACCACTGCCTCTCGGGGGACTCGTGATGGGCTTGCACTTCTTCAACACCGAGGGTGACACAGCTGACTTCCCAGCCTTAGGAACCAGTAAAGGTCTTGGAGCCAGCACCTGGCCCGTAGGTGTCTGGCACTGACATGTGTCGCCAGCCTTCCACCGGCTCCCTTTACGAAGAGAGGTGTACATTAGAAGTTTGAGGGACACCCCAGATTTGGGGGGAGGCAGTACGGCTCAGGGTCCACTGCAGACAGCAGAGGAGCCCCTGCCCAGAGCTCTGCCCTGGCTGGTGGAGGTAGGAACCCCCTTCCGCCCGCCCAGTGGTTCACGGCGGGACCTTGTGAAAGGTTCCAGGGGTGCAGGAGGAGGTCAGGGAACACAGGCGGCAGAAGACAACCTTGCAATCCCAGAAACATCCCTCCGGAAGGCCTTCTCTGCTTGTCACTAGCAAGGCGGGGCAGGACCTCAGAGGAGAGATGCTGAGCTGTGCTCTCCCTGTTCCTTATAATCCACCAAGTCCCCAGGAGGGGACAAAGAACAGCCCAGGCCCCTGTCTCAGGGCCAGGAACCCTGCCGCGCACCTGCTGTGTGCTGGGAGGGGAGAGTTTCCCACCGCCGCTTCTCCGGCTGCAGCTCTGTGTCGCTGGTGAGAACCGGCCCACACAGAGTGAAGGCCTGAGGCCCCGGCCCCTCCTGATCCCTGACCCCGGGAAGGTCAGGGAAGAGAGAGGGCCAAAACCCGGGGACCCCTCTGTTCTGAGTCCCGTCCGATCACCTCCTGCCTCGTCTCCTGCCCCTGTTCTCTCTTCCACTCTCACATGATTGCCTCTCAGAACTGCTGACCAGGGCTCTGTTGGAAGATCTGGTCCATCAGACCTGCCTACTTGCAGAGGCATACACACTCGCTCCTGCCTGCACTCCAGCCCTTTGCTAGCTCTCCAGCCGCCTCAGGACACAGGGCTGGGCTGATGCTCCAGCTCTCCACCCCTCTCCACATCCCGTGTCTCCAGAGCCACCCAGAGGGAGTTTGGACTTGATAAAATGCTGCCTCTGTTTCCACCAGCAAGAACCATTGTATTAAAAAGCTACAAGGGTGGGCAGAGCCCCCTTCTGGACCCCAGGCCCTGCCTGCTAATCTCACGGGGGCTTCCTGGCCCCTCCGTAGCTGGCCCTGGTGTGCCTGTGCTGCCAGAGTGAACATACTAAGGACCAAAGGGGAGACGGGAATCTAGGCTAAGTAAATAAACCCAAGAAGGAAGGGAGGGAGTGAGGGGAGGAGGGAAGGAGGGGAAGATGGAGCGGGGGGATGCTGTGCTCCCAGCGCAGTGTACAGTAAGTGGCTGCACGTGTGACTGTTTGTGGTCCCATTGCTGTCTTTTCAGAGGTGGTTCTTGCTACAGGATGACCAACTTTGCGGATGTGCCTGGGAATAAGGAGGTTTCTTTTTGTCCTTCATTGGAAAAGTCCCTGATGCTGGGAAAGACTAAGGGCAGAAGGAGGAGAGGGCTTCAGAGGATCAGAGGGCTGGATGGCATCACTGATGCAATGGACACGAACTTGGGCAAACTCTGGGACATGGTGAGGGACAGGGAGGCCTGGCGTGCTGCCGTCCATGGGGTCGAAGAGAGTCAGACACGACTGAGCAACAACAAAGGAGTTTCCTGAGACACGGGGCTTTTTCAGTGCTCCAACCAAGACCAGTTAGTTGGTGGTCCTTGTCCACCTGGTTCCATCTCTTGTAGCCTGTGTTTCAGAGCAAGGCCCTTGTCTAAACAAGGGTGGGTTCTCACATCCCACGTGGAACCTCCAGGGTCTTCGGTGAGTGGGGAGGGATCATCTTAAAAAGAAAAAAAATGACCTCATCTTTCTTTCTCCTGCTCCTGCATTTGTACCATTTCCTCTCACATCCTCTCACAGGAGTGGTCTTGTATGGTGGTAGTCACTGGGGTCACAGCAATATCCCAGTGAACTGCACATAGTGCTGACCATCTGGCAGCCACAGGTCCAGTTAACTGTCTCTTTACTCCTTGCTACAGGTATTATTATTGTTGCTTACAGGTGAAGAAGCAGGATAAGAGAGTGTACCTACGCACACAGAGCCTGCAGTCAGTGGGTGGAGATTTACTCAGTATAATCTGTCTCTAGTTGCCCTGCCTCTGGGCCCCGACCTGACAGCCCCATTGAGCACTAGGCCATTCCAGCTTTGTGTTCTTACGAGAACTAGAGGGTTAGGAGAAGCAGGATAGTTGGGATTTTTTCCTCTGGGAGCCTGAGTGGCAGGACCTGGGCAAGCGTCCTTGCAGCCACTGAGGTGCTCAGATCCCCAGGGTTATGAGTGGGTCTCTGGAGCTGCCTAGGAGCCCAGCGGATGGCTCTTCCAGAGCTGATGGTCCCGCCTCTGTCTCCCAGGACTTAATGACCTGCTCCTCCGCGCTGTCAGGAAGCACGTGGAAGCAATTCTGCAAGTCCGAAAAAGCAGCAAAAGGAATATTTGATCACAGGTGGCTGCTGTCAGCCCAGAGTCTCTGAAGTCCTGGGCTGGGTGCTTCCCGCCCTCTGGGAGTCCACCAGGCCCCCCCCTTCACGGCCACAGCCCTCGCCCGGGACTCTGCAGTGACCTCGGAAAAGGGAGCAGGCACGACGCGCCTCTCAGGTGTCACCCCTGTTTGCCCTGAAATGTGGTTTCTTCATCTGAGTGGTGAGCGGTGAGCGGTGAGCGGTGAGCGGTGAGCGGTGAGCGGTGAGCGGTGAGCGGTGAGCGGTGGTGAGCGGGTCCTACCCGAGGCTGCATAGAAACTCCCGCTGAGCCCTCGCTGCCCACCTTTCCCGCTGCCTCTTTCCAGCAAGAGAGGATGCGGGCCTCCGGGAAAGAGAGACTTTTGAAAGCAGTCAGACTCGGCTTCAGATTCAGCTCCCATGTACAACCAGCAGTGACCTTGGCAAAGCCGCCAAATTCTGCATGCTTGTTTGAGGGATAAAACATCCACCTGCTAGCTCTGAAGGGAGGGGTAATGAAACGGTATTCCCAGAGTGTCTGGATGTGCGCCCAGTGCATTGAGGAACTTCGTAGATTGAATTACGGTGAGTCAGGAAGCTCAGAGGGCAGTGGGTCCATCCACCGTCGCCTCTTAGAAGAGGCACGTGCAGAGCCTAGCCCACAGCGCGGATTCTTGAAAATGCTACCCAATAGGGAGTTTTGAAACTTCCTGTTGGGTCCGGTTTCATTTATTAACAATGCCCCTCTGGTGAGAATTCTTCTTTTAGGTCTAGCCTATATCCATCGGGCTGCAACTCAAGTTAATTTTCTTTTGTCTCCTTTTCAGAAGAGAATGACAATCACCTCATCTCCTGGTTTTTCTTCAGGAGTATAGAGACGTTTTCCTTCCAGCTGCGAAGCACATAACCGTGATGTTCGCGGCATCCTACGCCTGCTTCTGAAGTGCAAACTATTGGTCCCGAGGGGCACTTGCCCCACCCAGATTCATGAAGCGCACCCGCGGCAGGGGCAGGAAGCGGAACCCAGGTCCTCAGACTCCTTGAGTCCAGCTCCTGAGAGCCTGCCTCCTGTAATCCCATGCGCTCCGCCTTCTCTGAATTCTCTCCATTATAGAACAGTCTTTGCTTTTTTTCTTGGATTAAAAGAGGGGTGGCGGTGAACTGAAGGGGGGAGGTGGGTAGAGAAGAACTTTCTATGAAGCTTAAACGTGTTTCCCATTCAAGGAAGAGGCAGGAGATCCCCAAGTGCAGTTCGGTCAGGGCCTGAACGCTGGGATCCGCGAGCTCGCCAAAGATGCGGGACTGAGGGACCCAGCATTCCCGCCCCGCACATCCCCGCCCGGCGAATTCATTCGCAGCCCGGCCCGTGCCGCTCCTCATCTGTAGGCGCTGCCTGCGCTTCGCAGCCACTTGCTGTCCCATAATCAGCACCATTATCTCTGGATAATTTTCCCTTCTCTCGGCAATTCGGCCTGTGAAAGGAGCCCGAGGAAGACCGGTGTTTCTGAAACTAGGAGAAGGGGGGACGTGGCCTTGATTGCAAATGAAAAATTAAGCCCGCGTGTCTTGCGTTCTCGCCGGCATGATTGCGCGTCCCCCCACCCCGCCCACCCCCGGCTGCCTGAAGGGTAGCTATGCTCCGTCTACCTATGCTTTGGCTCGCCTCGCATTTAGCAAACCTGTAACGCCTTTAATCTCTGAAAGCCACAGCGCTTTGGCTCTAAATACCTAATCTGCTGTCGAGCGCTCCTGCAATTCGCTCTCGGCCGTCCTGGCGTTGAACCCGTGGGTTTGGTTTGTCCCACCGGCGGGGCGCCACTCGGGGTGGAGCGCGTCGAATTTGCCTTTGATCCCCCTCTAGAGGGGGAGGGCAAAAACACAGGAGGGGCGGCTGGTGGGCTGAGTCCCCCAGCGCACCCCACAAGCGAGCTGCCCAGGGAGGCAAGAGCATCCCTCTCCTACGCAAAACCTGGCCGGCGCTGCCAAGATGACAAGGAACCAGCTCTTTGCTTCAGGAACTGAGCCGCTGTTGCGAGGAAACAAACCGATACACGAATAACTACCACGCGAAGGAATCAATGTCTTAATAGAGGTGTGTGCCAGATGGTGGGGGAGGGCAGAGGAGGAAGTGACTCCTGCTCTCTCCCAAAGCTGATGAAAGCTTCTGCAGCCGCAGGGTCAGCAGTTCATCGAGAGAGCAGGCTGAGAACCCGGCGCTGGGTTCAGCTGGGTTAGCGGGGCCAAGAGGGTGACCTGTCCCGGAGACGGCCACGAGTGGGGTGCCAGTGAAGCTGTGAACGGGGAGTGCTGGCGTGGCGTTCACTGGGGAGGCAAGGAGGGCCCCCAGTTCTCGGATGAGGACCCGTTCTGACAATGGAAAAGCAATGGAAGGGCTTCATGCAAAAGTATACATGCATACACAGGTAGAGGTAGGGCCCTAGATATGTAGGGATATTGTGTCGGCGTGATCACTCAGTTGTGTCAGACTCTTTGCGACTTCATGGACTGTAGCCCGCCAGGCTCCTCTGTCCATGGAATTCTCCAGGCAAGAATACTGGAGTGGGTTGCCGTTTCTATTGGGGTGGGCCGATTGGTTTGGGTTTTCCTGCAAGATGCAATAGAAAAATCCAAACAAACTTTTTGGTCAGCCCGATAGATAGATATGTAGATACACATACATACACACGTATATACATCTTTATTTTAAAGTATATATTTATTTTCATATTTACATGGCTATCATATGATTTAATTTATATATCACATTAGTATGCTAAAGTTGCTATAACAAAGTATTACAGACAGGGAGGGTCAGGAAGGGGCAGCAGGGAAGTTAAACAACAGAAATAGACTTTCTCACAGTTCTAGAGGCTGGAAGTCCAAGATCAAGGTGTCTGCAGGGTTGATTTCTTCTGAGGCGTCTCTTCTTAGTTTGTAGATAGCTGCCTTTTCCCTGTGTCCTCACATAGTCTTTTCTCTGTGTGTCTGGGTCCTAATCCCCTCTTTCCCTGAGGACATCAGCCACACTGGACTAAGGCCCACCCCATGAGCTCTTCCACGACAGAGTGATTGAGTAAAAGTCGCTCAGTCCTGTGCAACTCTTTGCAACCCCGTGGACCACAGTCTGCAAGGCTCCCCTCTCCATGGAATTCTCCAGGCCAGAATTCTGGAGTGGGTAGCCGTTCCCTTCTCCAGGGGCCCTTGAGACCTGGTCTCCCACATTGCAGGCAAATTGTTTACCATTTGAGCCATCAGTCTGAGCTACCATGATGAGCTCTTTAAAAAAAAAAAAATTATTGGAGTATAGTTGATTTGCCATGTTGTGTTAGTTTCTGTTATACAGCAAAGTGAATCAACTATATGTACACATATATCCCCTCTTTTTTGGATTTCCCTCCCTTTGAGGTCACCACAGAACATTGAGTTGAGTTCCCTGTGTTATACAGTAGGTTCTCATTAGTTATTTGTTTTATACTGGGCTGCATGCATGCTAAGTTGCTTCAGTCATGTCCAACTCTTTTCGACCCCATGAACCATAACTCACCAGGCTCTTTTGTCCATGGAATTCTCCATGGATACTGGAGTGGGTTGCCATGCCCTCTAGGGGATCTTCTGGACCCGGGGATGGAATCTGCATCTCTTAATCTCCTTCATTGCAGGCGGGTTCTTTACCACTAGTGACATCTGGGAAACTCTAGTGGCGTGTACATGTCAATCCCAATCTCCCAATTTATCCTGCCCTGCCCCTTTCCCAATAATAGCCTCTTTAAAGGCCCTAAATCCAAATGCAGTTACATTCTGAGGTACTGGGGGTTGGGACTTCAATATGTGAATGGGGGTGAGGCACAATGGATTTACATTGATTGATAAATTCATGAATTTTAATGTTTCTTCCAGCAGTGCTCCCCAGTCCTTAGTCTTTCCCAGCAGTGGCCTGATGTGAGGGGAGGGCACTGTTCCACATGTACTGCACCTCTCTCTCCACCCAGGGCAGCAGTGACGTGTGTCACCGTCTGTTTCTCACAACCAACTCTTGGGCTTTTGAACAATTCAGCCCAGTTGTTCCACTGGTCCCGGAAGCATCCTCGATTATCCAGTAAAACCCAGGTACCCCTCAGTTCAGAAGATTGGGGATCCCCAGAAATGCTAGGCAGATTGTGGTCTTTCCTAGAATGGAGATTCCACTCGGAAAGTGGCTCACCTCCCACCAGGATAGAGGCTGAAGCCAGATAATTGCGTTTCTTGACTCTAGTAACTGCTTATTCTCGGTCAATTAGGACTCTTCTGGTTGTAAGTGGCAGACCACAAGACTCCAATAGGCTTAAAATCAGAAAAAGATTTTATTGGCATGTGTGCAGGCATGCTAAGTCGCTTCAGTCTTGTCTGACTCTGCAACCCTCTGAACTGTAGCCTGCCAGGCTCCTCTTTCTGTCCATGGGATTCTCCAGGCAAGAATATGGGAGTGGGTTTCCATGCCCTCCTCTAGGAGAAACTGCCCAACCCAGGGGTTGAGCCCATGTCTTCTGAGGCTCCTGTATTACAGGTGGATTCTTTACTACTGAGCCACTGGGGAAGCCCTTTTTTGGCTTTTCTAACTGCAAATTCCAGTGGGTAGATAGACCTAGATTTTCAGGAGAGGCTGGCTTCAGGGGTGTATGACATTTCCACCCAGGAGCTCTGCTTTCTCTTTTTAAAAAGTTTATATTGAATTTGTTACAATATTGTTTCCGTTTTATGTTTTGGTCTTTTGGCCTCCAGGGATGTGGGATCTTAGCTGCCTGACTAGGGATCGAACCCACAAACCCTGCATTGGAAGGCAAAATCTTAGCCACTGGGCCACCAGGGAAATCCCACCACTCTCTCTTTTTATGTCAGCTCCTCTCTCAGGCAGGGTTTAGGTGGTGACAAGATGACTGGCCTCAGTTCTAAGTCCACGTCCTGCCAGGCCAAGTCCAATGTCACACACAGAGAGAAAAGAGTTCTCAATAGGTTCATTTAAAAAAATTATATTTGAATGTCTTGTGTCTCATTGGATCTGCCCAGGTCCCAGGAACATCTCCAAAATCATCACTGTGGCCAGGGAAATAGTTGACTATTCCAGGGTACCCAGCACACCCATCCTCTGGAGCCAACTACATTCAAGGCATGGGTACAAGCGATTCCACAGAGAGAAAGTGGGAGTTCTTTTCCCCCAAAGAAAGCCTGCTGAATGGCTGCTGGTGTGTAAAAGCAAAAAGCACCCACTATAGAATCTGAAAGAAGAGCTTCTGGAACAAAAGCTTAGCAAACTGTCATGTATGAGACTGTCCTGGTTGAATGGTAGCACTGAATGTAATTATACTGCAAGTTTTCTGCTTCTTACCTAAACTAATTTCATTTCTGTGAAGTGGAAATTTGTGTTTTTTATTTAAAAAAAAATTCTTTTCATATGCAGTTTAAAAAAGCACAGCACCGTGGTTAAGCAAGACCTAAAACTCTCAAGCCCCATTGGGCCACTTGACAGTCATCTGATATTGAGTCAGTGACTTAACCTCTCTGCACCTGTGTTCTACCTACTCACTAGGGTTAATAAAAGCTGCTTCAATGAAAGCATGGGCACAAGGCACTTAGCACGTAGAGCCGGTAGATATGAGCTGTTATTTTTTAAGAGACCTCAAGACATCACAGACTCACTGCATTGGCTCTGAAAGGATGTTTCATCTACAATTTCCAGGTGAGGAAGCTGAACAAAAAGGGGGTAAGTGCTACTGCAAGGTCACACAGTTCACTAGGCACGGAGGTGGTTTGGAATCCAGGATCCCTAGTTGCCAGCAGAGCCAGCTGCATCGTGTTTCAGCCAGTCTCCTGCAGCAGTCCAGGACAATAACCCCATGCCCGGGACATGAAGTCCCCAAACCCAGTCTCTTTGAGCATCTGCCTGGGAAGTGAGCTGTGTCTTTGCCTTTCTAGTCTCCTCTGTGGTGAGGGCAAGCTTTTGTGCCTGCATTCTGGAGGCGTGATGGTGTGTGTGTGCGCGCGCATACTTGCACATGTGTACTCTGGCCCCACCACTGAGACTTGGCTCCCTGAGGAAACAGCTGTAATCATGAAGCAGGGGGCAGCCACCAGCCTGACCCCGAACCTGTGTCGTCTCCACAGCCCAGGAGTCATCATTTTGCCAGAATGGCCCCACGCGCCCCATAGTTTCAGGCCCCAAAGAGACAAGTGGAGAATCTTGTTAAGGGCTACAGATCCTGACAAGAGCCCACTCTCCTCTGAACCAGGCAAGAGATGAATGTGCCTGTGATTCTTGTCTTCTCACGAGAAAACATAAGATCTTACTCTGGTTATTTACTGGGTAGATGCCAACCTCCAACCCTGATACACCCAGGGCCTGGGCCTGCAGAGTGCTGGTGCCCTGAGCCCAGCTCACCAAATGTTTACACATGTCTTTGGAGAGGACATGGAGTGTAAAGTCAGGCCCCCTCTGCCTCATCCTGACCAGGCCTGTGCCTGGGCCAAGTCCCTGGTCCTTTCTGAACCTGTTTCTTGACCCGTGAAATGGAGATAAGCAAGCTGTCTCAGAGTTGCCATCTGATATAACGAAATACCATGGACTGGGTGGCTTCTAAAAAGCACACAAATTTATTTCTCACAGTTCTGGAGACCGGAAGCCTCCAAATTAAGGTGCCAACAGATTCTATATGGGGAAGGCCCATTTCCAGGTTCATGGTATTCAGTTGCTAAGTCATGTCCGACTCTTTGTAACCCCATGGACTGCAGCACACCAGACTCCTCTGTCCTTCACTGTCTCCCAGAGTTTGCTGAAATTCATGTGCATTAAGATGGTGATGCATCTTAACCATCTCATCCTCTGC